CCTTCTTCACCGCCCTGTCTACCTGCGACTCCACTTTCAAGGAACTATGTACCTACGCTCAACACTTCAGGTGAGAGGGGGAAAGGGAGCCTGATGGGCAACCACGCAGAGGGTGGCACGTGTGTGGAACGAGCTGCCAGAGGAAGTGGGTGGGGGCTGGTACAATGACACCATATAAAGGCATCTGGATGGGGACATGGATAGGAAGGGTTTAAGAGGGATAGGGGCCAAACGCTGGGGAACGGGACGAGGATTAATTTAGGATACCTGGGTCAGCAGGGACGGGTTGGGCCGAAGGGTCTGCTTCCGCACTGTACAGCTTGAGGACTCCCTTAGGGGTCTTGACGGGATGCAGCGTGGATGTGGGGAGAGTGTAGAATAAGAGGGGAGGGAAGTGTGAAAATGTCCGTTTTTGGTTTAAGGAATTCGAAAGAGAGCATATCATCCGAACAGCAAGAGGTTGGAGCGCTCTGGGATCTACACAGCACAGGACAGGCCCTTCGGCCCGCGACGTGGTGCCGACCTATTATCCAACTAAGATCAACATGTCGGAGCGTGTGCACGCAGAGAATGCTAGAAACGCAGTTACGAGTGATGGGCTAGTCAGATCAATTGCAATTCAGTTAAAAGAATAAGTTGTGGGGGGGGGGGGGGGGGGCGCGGGTTTACATCCAAGATGGCGGCCACGGGAGGGCGAGAAGCGAAAGGGATTGTGGGAGGAGTGCCCCTGCAAAGTTGGGCAGGGCCAGGCGCGTTGGCGAGCTGCCCTCCCCCGCCCCCCACAACCGGTTTCCCCTCTGACCTTTCACCCCTTACCTGCACCTTCCGATCACAGGGCCGCGACGGAGGGTTAGCATCGTCGGCGATCCTCTCCGAGGAGACGGGAAGTTCCGGAATGAGGACATTCGGGTGCGCCCCCGGGGCAGGGCGCGTCGCGATGGCAGACGGTAGGCCTGGGGTGTGGGATGGGGGAGGTTGGGGGCCGATAGCCTTACTGTGTCTGTCCCACTCGGCGTCCTCGTCCTCATCATCGTACCTACGACAAGATCAGACAGAGGCAATCAGAGGGAGGGCTACATCCTGGTAAATCTCTCCCGGCCCCAGAGGCTACATCCTGGTAAATCTCTCCCGGCCCCAGAGGCTACATCCTGGTAAATCTCTCCCGGCCCCAGAGGCTACATCCTGGTAAATCTCTCCAGGCCCCAACCTCTCGCTGCGGCCTGACCAGTGTTTTATACAGCTCCGGGCTCAACCCCCCACCCTGCTCTTAAACTCTCCCCTAATAATGGCAGGTATCCGGTACGCCCACTTTATCTACCAGTCCTGCTACCTTCAGGGGCGAGGGGGGACACGCACAGCAAGATCCCACCGATCCTCGGCGCTTCCCAGGGTCCTACCTCTCATCGTGTATTCCCTCGCAGTGTTTGTCCTACCCAGTATGTTGCCTCACATATGGAATTCCACTTGCCCCTAGCCATGCCCATCTGTATCCTCCTGGCATCTAAGGCTACCCCTCCTCGCCATGTGCTACCCTGCCAATTCTTCTATCGCCTACAGGTTCACTGATCGACCCTCCGACGTCCACCTCCACATCATTCATATTGACCTGAAACGGCCGACACTGACCCCCACCCCCACCAAGTTAGGAGGGTCTCAACCACCAACCATCTCTTTCAAAGCACATTCCCTTGTGGGATCTGGGGGTTGCTGGCTGGGCCCAACAATTTATTGCCCACCCCCATCCCCAGTTGCCCCCCCTCCCTTGAGAAGGTGGGGGTGAGCTGCCTTCCTGAACCGCTTCAGTCCACGTGCTAAAGGGCACTGTGGGTCTGCCCTAAGGGAGGGAATTCCAGGATTTTGACCCGGGGATACTGAAGGAACGGCGGGATGGTGAGGGGCTCGGAGGGGAGCTTGCGGGGTTGGGGGTGGCTGGCGTTCCCATGTGTCTGCTGCCCTTGTCCTTCTGGATGGAAGTGGGATCTTTGGTGAGTTTCTGCAGCGCGTCTCGTAGATGGTACACACTGCTGGTACAGAGCGTCGGTGGAGGGAGGGACATTCGGAGCTCAGCCGAGCATTCCTAATAAACCCAGCCACCTCTGTGTCGTGGTGGCGGGGGGGGGGGGGGGGG